GTTGTGAACATCGGTTACGCGTTCGCCGAGCGGCTACCACCGTCGAAAAGCTTCGGGTTGGACTGTAATGGCCGTGGAAGGTTAATGGGCTTACCGAAAATTGATGGTGGCTGTGCAGGGTCGCATGAAATACGTGCAACGCAAACTCTCTCTCTCTCTCTCTCTTTCTCCTCGAGCTTTCACCCCCCGTTCGTCCCTTATTCCCTTTTTCTCCACGACCTACGATCGCCGTGATTTTTCCTGAGAATATTCGCGACGCGCCATGTGCAACGTACGAGCTTTTTCGACGTACGGCCTTGCTTACACCTCCTTGCTCGCCGCCTCCTTTCTCCAACGCTTTCACCAACTCGAACAACTCCACCGGTGGAAAATTGATTGACTTTATCCACTGGCTCGCCGATATCGAGTTTACGCGAGAGAGCAACCGAAAGGTTAGGGGGAGAGGGAAAGATTTCCATTTACGCGAAGAAATTTTCCAACACTTCTTTCTCTCCCTTGTTGCTCGTCTCGATGCTTGGAAAAACCGACCGAACCCTGTATTCCACTCTCCTGCACCCTCCTCCATTCACTTGCTGCCTAACGAATGGGAAAAGAAACGAGTGCATTTCTGTTCGCAGGTTCGCGACGAAATGGCCACGGAAGGCATCGAACCGTTCGAAGAAGAGATTCCTCACAAGGACATAATCGGTCGAGATTACTGCCGTTACAACGTGAAGAGGCTGATGGCGCCGTAGTCGTTAAGAATCAGCTAAGAGTGTAGAAGATTGAAATAGAGGAGGAGGAAGAAGAAGAGGCGATAGAGTAAGGAATTCGAATGATCGTCGGTGAAATGAAACTGTCTTTATAGAAGCACTCCGACTGGTGAATTCTCGCGAAAGACGAGAGTTCCTCTCTTCGACTCTTTCACCCTTTTCACTCCGCGACTCTTGACCGCGTGTACGTAAGTAGATAGGCAAACTCGATTTCCTGAGAAGATTCGCGAGACAGACGAGTACTCGTGGGCACAATGTCCCCGGCGACAATGGCGAAAGGGTGAAAGAGATCGAAACCGCGTTTCTTTCTTCGCGAAGAAAAAAAAGAAGGAAGGAAACGAGAAGGACGATTGCACGTTTCGCGAAGACCAACGTTTATGGTATTAAAAGGGTGAAAAACCGTACTCGATGTGTGTTTAAAATCTGCACTCAACGATTCTCTCGTCGATTGCTGGAACCAAGGAAAAAAAAAATAAATAAATCGTTCTAGTCAATATGATTATTCTATTATGTATAAATATGTACACATTACGATCGATCTTCGCGAACGACTGACACCGGCCCTCGTGAAATAACACGCGACCGGTGACTATTTACGATTTCGAATGGATGGACGTGATTCGATGTGACTTGTACGAGTGGAGCGAGTGTGTGTGCGTGAGCGAGGAAGAGAGATGTAACGATTATGTTTGTACATATGGTACCTGAAGTCGACGCACATATTGATCCTCCGGTGGGAGCAAATCGGCCAGACGAGAACGAACAATTTTTCACTCGAAGGATAATTCAACCGCGCAAGAGTATATACATAAATGTTACACGGAGAAATATCGATAATTTCGTTCGAGGAGATCGCGAAGGGACTAAAATGGCCGGTTTGGTCGGATTGTAACGGAGGAAGCTTAGATACGAAATTAGACTCGAAGGAGCTAAAGAGAAAAAGAAAAGAAAAAAAACTGAAGACGTTGAGAAATTTTGTCAACGAATTTGCGCGTGCGATATGCGCGCACACGCAAGGCGAGAACTTTCCTACGATTTTGCACGATCGAAGTTGACGTCGACACGCGCCGTCGATGTGCTACCTTAAATCACGATTCACGGATGTTTTTTCGAAACGCGTCTCATTCCATTGTAACCACCACCTTTAAGGCTCGTATATTCTAACTAAACGCACCGTGTAATAATCCTTTCTTAACGATGTTTTTACACTAAACTTTTAATATAGCCAGATTTTAAATGAAAAAGAAAAAAAAAGAGAGACGAACGAGCGTGGAGCAAAGGAGAGAAACAAAAATGAACAGAAGCGAAAAGCGGCGAAAAAAAAATGAAAGGATATGTGAAAAAAGAAAAAAAAGAAAATGCAAAGACGTACTATCAACTTCCCTCGTGCCATCGATAAAAATGCATTTGGTCGTTAATTTTACGTGAAACTTTCGCTACACTTACGTTCCCGATTAAATGAAAAAAAAAAAGAACTTAAAGAAACGAAGAAACGGATGAAGAGAAAAGAATGAAAAATAAATGAAAGACTTGTTTCGTATCGATCGATTCTAACGACCATTCCTGTGCAAGTAGTCGAGATCAACGAAGCGCCAGCCTCGTGAGTATATCCTAACATTTCAAACGTTATTGATATCCGAAATAAATCGACGACAAATCGAAATACGGTCGTTGTTCAACTGAAACCAACGAATTGTTTTCTTTCTTTCAAACATTCCATCATCCCTTTTCCTAAATAATAGTGGGTCATTTATTTATTTCAGGTAGAATTTCCGCGGTTTTAAGCCGTTCATTTTGCAGAAACGTAATTCCATTGAAATTGAACATTTTTTATTTCAAACAATTTCTACGATTTTCGATTCGCTTTTGTTGATATGTTGAAAGCATTAATTCCGCGCGTATGAAAATTCGAATCTTTAGAAGAATGGAATTGCTGAAGCAAACAAAAACTGATCTCAGTTTACTATCCATAAAAATATGCTTCGGTGACGAGAGGGTTAATCTCAAAGTAGACCACCAAACTATAAACATAATTTTTTTGGGTGTAAACTAAGTCTTTCTTTCTCTCAGAGATTCAGATCTTTAAGTGCAAATTGAGTTCAAATCGCCGAAAATCATTAGCGTCTCTTTTTCTCTCAAAAATTCAAATTTTTAAGTGCAAATTAAGTTTGAATCGGGGAAATTCATTGCGTCTTTCTTTCTCTCAAAGATTCAAATTTTTAAGTGCAAATTAAGTTTGAATCGGGGAAATTCATTAGCGTCTTTCTTTCCCTCGGAGATTCAAATTTTCAAGTATGTACGCGAAATTAATTAATTTTGTAATAAATTAGCAAAAACTGTATAAGAAAGTTATGAAAATTATTCGAAACAAAACTGTTCAATTTCAGTGAAGTCACGTTTTTTCAAACTGACCACCTTAAAACCGCAAGAACTTTCAGGACCACCTACACAGCACACAGGTACATCCGTTGACCTTTTGACGACGAGGCAACGATTGGGTGAAAGACCTTTCGGGGCATAAGTAGATGGTTAAAGTGAACGGGCCGGTTGTAAATCGAGTGCATCGATCCGCCAATTTACAAGTAACAAAGGACGCCGCTCGTTGGCGATTCACGCGGCGCGTAGGAGGCAATCAAGTGCAAAGCACACGTTGAAATCGTAAACGCGGCTTGGTTTATTGGCATTTCGGGATCGTACGTGCTGTAAATTCCGGCCTGGCTTGATTAGATTGTCGTTCCGCGGATTTGATAATGGCTGATTACCTATCAATCGAATAAATCAATTCAACTGCTCTCCCTCATCTCCCTTCTATCCCCTCTATCTCGTGGGAGTAGAAAATTTGACGCAACGCGACACACACCGCCAATGGAAAATCGACAGAACCAAGTTTGTTTATACCTCTATTTACATGCTTCTATATGTGTCTGTCTGTCTGTCTGTCTGTGTGTTATTTTCTTGTTTGCCAAGAGAGCACGTTATTATCTGACAGCCGAAACGTTCTCGCTATTCTCTTCTCCATTTTCACTATACTCCACTCGATAAAACGACAAAGCTTACATTTTTACGAGAATTTTTCTCTTAATTCTTTTTTCCTTTGCGAAGAAGATACGAAGACTGAAAAGTACGAAAGTTTCAATCTGACACGTATAGTACCACCGTAGATAACAAGTTTTCGTTCTCTAATCGTTTAAAGAGGGTTCGATCGAAAGCGTGGCCTGGTAAGTTTTTCAGAGGCGGAGAAGAAAAAGGGGACGGAGGAGAACGGTCGCGCGGCCTTTCGGTGATAATTAATTTCTCGCCATTGGTGGGTCCTTAACGAGCTCGTTAAAAAGTTTTGACACGTTTAGACCGGGATTCGACGGCGCAAAAACCATTTAAGCTTCCTCCCTCGACGGGCCAGGCCCGGCTGAATGAGCAGTCGGCTCCTCCGACCCTCTGTTGCAAACCAACTCCCTCTCTCTCTCTCTCTCTTCTTTCTTTTCACTCTGACTATCGTTTTCTCGTGGAT